CCCCCAGGCTCAGCACCCGCAGCAGTACCAGAGTCACCAGCAACATCGACTGGCTCGACTGCGTCTGCCTGGGACAAACCTGAAGGGGCAGGACCCTGAGGGGGGAGGGGGACTACCGGGGGGGGACCTGGCACAAGGAAGTGCGGTGGCGGGGGGAGGGAAGGAGTGCGGTAGGGGAAGAGGCGGTAGTAGGGGACTGACTCGTCGAACGTGACGTCCTGGGAGGACAGAACACGATGAGAGGTGGGGTGGTAGAACTGCCACCCAGGGGCGTCAGGGGGGAAGCCAAGGAAGACACAGGGAGCAGCACGAGAGGACTGCGTGTCCGAAGACAAGTCGCAGACAAACGCCCGAGATCCCCAGACACGGAACGCAGACGCATCGCCGACCTTCCCCGTCCACAGCAAGGCTCGGGAGGTCTCCGGCCTGGAGACCCTGGGGTGAAGGTTGATCTGATGCGCCGCGTACTGAACCGCAAACGGCCACAGAAAATGGGGGGCAGCCGCATGGATCATGGACGTACGAGCGACGTCCATGACCATGCCAATGCGGCGCTCAGCAATCCCATTTTGCTGTGGAGAGTCCGGTAGCGTAAAGTTCTGGCGGATGCCTCGCGCACGACAGTAGGCTCGCAGAAGGCCAGAGGAGAACTCTCCGCCTCGGTCAGAGTGCAGACGCAGAACAGGAAAGTCCGAGCCGAAGCTCCTCCTGAGCTGAAGACGAGCTGCGCGGATCCAGTCGATCAACACCTCAGCGACATCACCCTTGCTGCGCAAGGGGAAGACTGAGGTGTAACGCGAGTAGTCGTCAACCACCAGCAGGAAGTAGCGCTCGTGACCCTGTCCACGGACGCGGGCTGGGCCCCACACGTCCATGTGAAGCGTCTGCAGCGGGGCCTCTGTCGGGGGAAACTGAGAGGAGTGAGGGGCAGCCCGGAGCCGCCCCTCGACACAGGGGACACAGGAAGGACCAGGCCCCAGAGGAAGGGGAGGGAGGGACCGGGGAAGACCAGAGACAAGGACACGGGAAGCCATGCCTCGGAGACGAGGCAGGGAGGGGTGACCAAGACGGTGGTGCCAGAGGAGAGTCTCGTGAGACAGGAGGCGACACGAGCAGGGGGCAGACTCAGGACCAGACCTGGACGCTGCAGCAAACACCTGACCCGACGCAGCTACCTGACCAGACGCAGTGACTGGAGGAGACGCAGTGGTCAGTGTGTACAGGCTCGACCCCGGCCGACGTGTAAACGTGGCCAGGTGTTGGCCTGTCCGAGCGTCCGTGCAGTGGGTCACCCGCTGACTCGCAGGAGTGAACTGGTGAACCCCCGTATCCTGCAGGTCAGCACCACTCACCAAGTTCGTAGAGAACGAGGGGAGGTAAAGACCAGACAAGGTGCCAGAGGGGGCAGCCGGACACGGGAGGACAGTGGAGAAGTGAGAGAGGACAGGACCCCCAGAGGGGTCTGCCAGGGAGACTGCAACTGGCCGACCAAGCGGCGTGAGTGTGGTGCGGTCTCGAAAGAAGGAGCAAGAAGCCCCTGAGTCAAGTGTGAAGGTGAGGGAGGCCGAAGCCAACGTGGTACCTGAGAGCGCAGACTCACCAGCACCTGAGGGCGCGGACGCACTGGCACCTAGAGCAGCAGCCTCACCAGCACCTAGAGCAGCAGTACCAATGCCCGGGTCTTGCGGGAAACACCGGTAACAGTCACCCTCATCACTAATAGTCACAGCATACATGGCAGCAAGGATAGCATCAAGGTCAAGATCAAAGATAGCTACGCCTGCCCTAGACAGCTCTCCCCAGCGGGGGATCTCACTAGCCTCCGGGAACTGCTGACGCCAAGCGTCCGTCAGGCGGCCAAAGCAGCGCTGGGTGGGGTGAGCACCCCCACACTGCTCACCCGCGCGGTCGCCAGAGCGAAGGACGTAGGTGCACGGGCCAAAACCCCCACCACCCTGACGCTGCGTGTACCACTCACGGAGCTGCTGAGAAGGGGGGATGTCCCGAGAACGCTGCTGCTGCTGCTGCTGCTGGCGCTGACCACTCCCGGAGCCGCTCCGCTGCGAAGCACCACCCCGACCAGCTCCACCTCCTCCACCACCGCCGCCTCCACCTCCGCCACCAACGCCGCCTCCGCTCCCACCGCTACCGCCACCGCCGCCTCCGCCTCCGCCGCTGCCACCGCCACCTCCACCCCCGCCACCACTCCCACCGCCACCCCCACTCCCTCCGCCGCCTCCGCCGCCACCTCCACCACCCCCGCTAGCCCCACCCGCGCCGTTGCCCCCCTTGCCCTTGCCAGAGCGGCGTCTCCCGCTAGGGGCAGACGCCGCACCGACTGACTCAAGACCAACGAGGTCGGCCGCAGCAGCAGAGGCGACAGAGGGCAACAGGGGGGAAGGGGAACACCCCTCAAAGATGGGGGTGCGAGGGTCACCACGAGAGGCTCCTACAGCGACTATGCTCTTTTCCGCTGCTAGGAGGGCCTTCTCTAGGAGGTCAACAGTGAGAGTGGTGGGACAGACTGAGAGGAAGTGGTCCCTGACTACACGAAGGGAGTCAGGGAGGCGGGTGACTATATAATAGAGAGTGATGTACATGGGGGGGGGGGGGTTCTTGGTGCAGAACTCAGCAGGAAGCGCGGCGCGGTAGCGAGTGTCACTAGTGCGGAGGTGCGTAATGAGGCCAGCGACTGTGGGAAAGGCAGCAAGGTCAGGAAAGAGGTACGGTAGCATGAGGCGGCTCAGTGCAGCAGTGGCAAGGGAAGAGTAGCGTGCAACGACAGCGTCGTACAAGGTCTGAGCACTCTTGTACTGACTAAAGTGCGCGCGCTTAGTGGTAGGCAGGTGGCGACGCACAGCAAGACGTGCAGCAGCATCGCGAGTGGCCCACTGGGAGCGAACAGTGGCGTCGGCATCGGCAGCAGGGGCAGGGGAAGCACGAGAGGTGAGGTCAAAGAGGGAAAGACCGTCTGCCCTATCGCACTGTAGGAAAAGCTGCAGGTCATCCACCCAAACCTCAAAGTCAATGGCTCGACCCTCAGCATCAAAAGCGAGAACACTGGGGGTAGCCATGACAACAGTGGACTAGCAGTACCAACTGTAGGACAGGGGCAGTGCAGTGACAGAAGCGTTGCTCTCACCAGGCAGGGTGGGTCGGGCAGCTCAGCGGTACAGCAGCACGGCAACACGGCTGCTCGGACGGCATTGCAGCAACTGCGGCTCCGTGGCACCAGCGGCTCGGCTCCTCAGGCGGCTCGGGCGGCTCAGGCGGCTCGGGTGGCTCGGGCGGTTCGGGCGGCTCGGGCGGCTCGGGCTGGTCGGGCGGCTCGGGCGGCTCAGGAGAGTCGGGCGGCTCGGGCGGCTCGGGCAGCTCGGGCAGGTCGGGCGGCTCGGGAGGCTCGGGCGGTTCGGGCGGCTCGGGCGGCGCGGGCGGTGTAGGGCGGCAGGGCCGCTGGTGCGAGGGGCGGCTGGGCCGCTGAGAAGGGCGGCGAGGCCGCTGCGGAAGGGCAGCGGGGCCGCTGAGTAGGGCGGCGGGGCCGATGAGAAGGGCGGCGGGGCCGCTGAGGAGAAGGGCGGCGGGGCCGCTGAGTAGGGCGGCGGGGCCGCTGAGGAGAAGGGCGGCGGGGCCGCTGAGTAGGGCGGCGGGGCCGCTGAGGAGAAGGGCGGCGGGGCCGCTGAGTAGGGCGGCGGGGCCGCTGAGTAGGGCGGCGGGGCCGCTGAGGAGAAGGGCGGCGGGGCCGCTGAGTAGGGCGGCGGGGCCGCTGAGGAGAAGGGCGGCGGGGCCGCTGAGTAGGGCGGCGGGGCCGCTGAGGAGAAGGGTGGCGGGGCCGCTGAGCAGGGCGGCGGGGCCGCAGCGAGGGAGGCAGCGGGGCCGCAGCAAAGGGCGGTGGGGCCGCTGAGATGGGTGGCGAGGCCGCAATGTGGGGCGACGGGGCCGCCGAGAAGGGCGGGGCCGCAGCGACGGGCGGCGAGGCCGCGGAGACGGGCGGCGGGGCCGCGGAGACGGGCAGCGCGGCCGCAATGCGGGGCGACGGGGCCGGTGTGACGGGCGGCGGGGCCGCACTAAAGGGCGGCGGGGCCGAAACGACGGGCGGCGGGGCCGCTAGGGGAAGGGGCCACTAGGGCGATAGGGCGATAGGGCCACTAGGGCGATAGGGTCGCTAGGTCGTAGGGGCCGCTAGGGCGGCTCGGCGAGGTGAGAGCCTGGAGCGCGACTCGGGCGGAGCGCGCTTCGGGCAGGAGAGAAAAAAAAAAAAAAAAAAAAGTGAAACTCGATGTGGTGGGCCCTAGGCACAGTTCCCAAGGGGGAACCTGCTCGATACCATGAGAAAAGGAGAACGAGAATGGATTGACTAAGGAATGGAAGTGATACAAATATGCAACCCTAGAAATGTGTACCCCATATAGGCTACCCCACTATAGCCTACACAATATTATAATTTGACAGAAACCAGGTTTACGTGCCCCAAAATTCTTCAAGGGTTAACCAGTAGATGTAGTCCGGAAACCTCGTCAGAAAATCCATGTTACTCGAAATGAACATTTTTGTCTTCACATCGCTAGAATCCGGCGATATCTACAGCAGATGCAGCTGGCAGCAGATGGAATTGAGTCGTTTGTCGTGGGCGGGTCGAGCTGGACGATTTGTCGCTAGTAAAGTTGGAAGTCCCGTCCCAAAATCCTCTGGCCAGGAAATCGGGGTAGGGCGAAAACGTCGTCGATGAAGGCGAGTTGATTATCGAGAGTCGGCGATTGTCGTCACAGTTGTAACCAAAATCGAGTGTCACTCCGAAAACTGTTGTCGAACGTAATCTGTGGTCAGATGATGTCAGCACCTTCAGCGGCTTTGTCCAGACTCGACGAGCCTTTTGTCGTAATCCGCCGATAACTCCAGGGCAGAGATGAAATTTTGCAGCTGTCTCTCCCCCCCCCTTCACTGTTGTTGCCGCCTTCTTCAGTTCGTCCAAAGTCGTTCGTACAAGGGGGTATCAACACCCCTCACAGCCTCATCCACTCGGCCGCATCCAGGAAGCCGCCCATAACGGCGAGCGCCCCTGCTTCAATGAGCTCCTGGCGGCGAGCCGCCTGCTGAGCCAGGGTCACCCAACGCGGTGTTGGCGCTGTCATCCACGCCGGCAGCACACACCCATGGCGGCGAGGGGTCTCCGCCGGCGGGGTCGAGCCGACGGGCGTGGTGGGAGGTGGGGTCTGGTTCAGATTGAGCGGCGGACTTGCGCGCTCCATTCGGGCCCTAATGATGGGGTTGCGGATGTTGAACAGCGAGCAGAGGTCACGCAGGGTGATGCCGGTCGTCTTTGCGTAGCCGATGAGCATTTCGCTCGCAGCACGTGCGTAGCGCCGTGCTTCACGGCAAGCTGGATTGGCGTCGTCATAGACGGCCTGCATGTTGGCAGGAGCTTCCCACATCTCTGGCGTCTGCACATTCGGTGGCTCCATCGCCAACGGGTCCTCGCCCGGCTCGGCGCAAGTCGGCTGATTGTCGTCGACGCGCACGAACTCCGCGGCCGGCATCGCCGAAGGCCCAAGGCCAAGGCGGTCGATAAGGATCCCCACATCGCCCAGAGCCTCGTCGAGCTCAGTGGTACCGCCGTTGCCGCCATCGCAGACGTGCTCAAGCTGCATCTCCCACGCACCCGGCAGGCACTCGGTGCGCCACCAGCAGCGCTAATCGTCCAACGCTCGATGTTCATCCAAGTGTCAAGCAGCCAGGCCAGCACGTTGCGGAGGTTCGGCCTGTACCTCGCCATCGCGGACATGGCGCCGTCCTCGGCCCACTTCGTAGTGAAGGCGCTGAGCCAATGCGCACGGTACCTCGCCTTCGCCGTAGCAATGATCCCCTGATCAAGGGGCTGGGTGAAACAAGTGGTGTTCGGTGGCAGGTACACGATGCGGAGGTTGCTGAGCTTGCGCGTGCGAAAACCGAACAGGTCCTCCGTCTCGGCCCCTTCAGACTTGAGGACGTGGCTGCTAGCATTGTCCATGAGGATGACAATGCTCCTCTACTCGGCGTACATGGCGGCATTGAGCTACTCCATGAAGTGAGTAAAGACCTGCAAAAGAAGTGTACGGGAACAAGATGCAGAAGAAACTTCAGAAAACTAGAAATGAGTGACAATCATAGGACATGGACGTATGTGCGAAGCAACAGTAAACCATGTCAATGGGCGTGGCGAATTGAAAATGCGGTAAAGCCTTACCTCAGTCGTCATCCAGCCCTTCTTCGATAAGCGCCAATAGCACACATCGTCTCGGTTATAATCGGGCCGGAAGTCGTGGGGCCTCTTGGCCTTCGAGATGACCAAGGGGCGGAACGAATGAGATCCGTCGGCATTGACGAGAAGGCCGATGGTAAGACGGTCCTTTGGGATCTTCCGTCCGGCCATGCGCCGATTTCCGTAAGTCTTACGGGGCAGCACAAAGATGTAAAGTGCAGTTTCATCAAAGTTGTACGTATCCCTCGCGGACACCGAGAGATACATCAGCAGCTGAGGAAGCTTCTCACGAGTCGTGCGCACCGCGGCCATGTCCTGATCCGCCGCCTCTCCGACAGCTCAGGCAACGGACGCCCTGGCGACGCAACGCGCGGCGTACCCATCCGGTCGAGCACCGAAAGTCCGCCGGAACCTCATCCATGTCGCGAGCCATGTTAGCGACGTGGTCGCGGATGGTGGCGAGCATGAGGGGAATGCCGGCCGGCCCCACATTGGCAATCCAAGCGGCCATGGCGCGCTCAAGTGTGGGGTGTGCGCCGCCCCTCACATGGACGATGTTGTTGTTCGTCGCCGTCGCGGCCCATCGTTCTGCGCCTTTCTGAACGCGCCCGATCGTCGAACGGTCGGGCCTAATGCCGAAGCAGGTAAAACACCAGCGCGCAAGGTCGACGTGGCGCAACTGGGGGTTGGCGACATAGTGGGCACAGATAGCCCACTTGATATGCACGGCAAGCTGTGAACCGTGGTTAAGACGAGGCATGGCTAGACTCGGAGGTGAAGAGATACTGGTGTCGAGTGGATTTCATCAGCACTTTATGCGGATGGCGAAGTTCTGGTGCAAGGAGATGGTTTCTCTTTAGGCGAGGTTGGCAAAATGGTTGGTGCATGGCATGCATTCAAGCGTAAAATTTGGCAGGGGTAGACCCTGTTACCTCAACCACAGGGTGTGACGTGGGTAGGTTGAGCATCGGATGGCACTACGACCAGTGCGAGCAGCACGAACAGGCGACGTAGAACAAGACTCAGGCGACGCAGGACAAGACTCTGGCTCACGACGCTCCGTAAGACCTCCTGTCGGACCAGTGTAGGGAGAAGGACTAGGAAGTGATGAGGCGGGCTGTAACTGTGCCTGCGACTGGACAGGCGGAGGACACTCTAGTGAGGGAGCAGGACAAGGAGGAGGAGGCTGACCAAGAACCTGCTGAAGGAGCGGAACGAAGTATGGCCGCGGTCGTGAAGCGCCCACAGAACGACCAGAGACCGCACCAGAACCCCCAGCAGCAACTCCAACTCCAGCAGTACCACCAGCAGCTCCAGTAGTGCGAACTCCAGCCACACCGTCGGCTCCAGCACCTGCAAGACCTACCCCAGGGTCGTCAGCGACACCAACTCCAGTAGACCCGGCGTCCTCAGCTCCATCGGAGGCTCCAGCAGCTCCAGCACCTGCAGCTCCAACTCCAGCACCAGCAGCACCTCCAATAGCACCAGCTCCAGCAGAACCCCCAGTCCCAGTAGCTCCAGTACCGCTTGTACGAGCACCTCCAGAACCGGAGGCTCCAGTACCTGGAGCAGCACCAGTGGGCGGCACCACAGGGCCAGGAGCTCCGCTGCGGAGGGTGCAGCGCCGAGCGTACCACTCACGCAGTCGCTGTGGGGAGGGAGGCGTCGGCTGCGACCCACCACCAGCTCCAACTCCAGCAGAACCCCCAGCTCCAGCAGCCCCACGCTGGAGGTTGTAACGCTGAGAGTACCACTCACGCAGCTGCTGTGAATAGTCCGTAGAGCTGAGTGGCCTGTATCAAGAGCTTGTGGGCGGCCTCATGTACGTGATGACCTGCACTCGACCTGACCTTGTCTACCCTCTTAGCATCCTCGCACGCTACGTTGCGCCCGGAAGACACCAACCAGAGCACATGGAGGCCGCTAAGAGGGCGTCGCGCTACTTGTGTAGTACGTCGAGCATGGGGCTCGTGCTTGGAGGACGGGGTTGAGTTGTCCTTACTGGACACGGAGACGCGTCTTCGGTTGACGACTTCGCTACCCACCGGTCGTCACAGGGTTACCCTTTCGGCATTGGCTCCGGTTCTGTTTCTTGGCGGTCTACCCGCTCATCTTCTGTTCTCTGTTCTAGTGGTGAGGCTAAGATCTACGCAGAGGCTATGGCTGCACAGGAGTTACATTGGCTCACCTACGTGCTGACCAACATGGGAGAGCGGCCTAATTCTCCTCCAGTTCTGTACGTAGACAACAAGGCCATCATTGACTTGTGCCAGGAGCACAGACTGGAGCACAGGATGAAGCACATCGCTGTGGGTTACTTCCTTTCTCGAGAGTTGCAGCAGCGTGGTCAGCTTCGTCTTGCTTACGTGGCCACTCAGGCCAACACTCCTGATATATTCACCAAGGCACTTCAGCCTAGTGATCATCAGCGTTTTTGTACTGTTTTGTAGTGGGGTAGCCCATAACGGGTACAACCCATTTAGGGTTAGTACTTGTACTCAGTTTGATCTCAATGCATTCATTCTCGTTCAGTATTCGGACAAGTTTATGTTGTTTTCTGCGTCACAAAGTGATTGAGACACAAATGTCGCTATGAGAATGCACCCTGAGTAATTTACTCCCTTATCAAGTGTTTTGCAAGCATCGCTACAATTGCAGTGACTCTTGCGATTTCATTTACGGTTGCTGTATTGCATTGGGAGTCCAATCCAGGGTACACGACAGACGTGACAATCTACCTTTCCGAATGTTGACCTTCGCTGTATGCACTATACGAGCTACCGCTGTGCCAGTGGAGGCGATTACTCGTTATGAATCGATGCGCTATTTTGAAGCTTTCGGGAATGCTTAGATAACCATTCGGTTATTCCAACACGTTTGGCCAACTTCATCGAAACCGATGCTACCTCGTGTCGCCTTCAGTTTTCCCTTGCCCAACATGCACCCAACCCCGCACCCCAGACCTATTTAGGTTAGCTCGCTATACGATTCCGTTAGTGAACGTCAGTCCATATTGTTACAGCTTCGTAATTATTCATTCCGCGCATCAATTTTCAACAACTCATTATAGATTGGATGTGAAAGCTCCTCATCGATAGTTGTAACGGACCTTTTCTTTTTTGTTGAACTTGGTTGAATCATTCGGTTCTCGTCCTTTGAATGTGAAAATACTGAATGTAGCCCACGATGCCCAATAAAGTGAAGGTGGAGCATCTACAAGATAGACAAGGGCTTGGGGTAAGGAGTGGAACATTTAGGTAGAAAACTATTCTTAGATAATGTGGATTGGTTAGGAACGAAACGATGTAGAGTGTAACGAGTGCAATTGAGTGAGCGAACAAGGATTGCCCATTCGAAGCAAACATTATATTGAGCAAAGGAATGAGCGAATAGCCAACTAGCGTGGCACGGTAACGCGCGAAACGTTGTGGAGAATAGGCGATTGTGGGAGAGCCTAGGCGCAAAGTTGCACGATCAGAGAGTGAAGTGTGAGTTTTCCGTGTACGGACTTGCTGGAAACCGGATACTGGTATTTGAAGAACAGTATGCTTGGTATACAGCAATAGGCTTGGTATCCAGTAACAAAAGGAAAGTAATTGATTAATTGATGGTCATCGTCGCGGTATCCGCATTGGCGTCATCGAGAAGCGTGTTAGCGAATACCGGGCACACATCGGCCCATTTCTTTGGGGGCACACCAAAGTTGGAGCGGGTAGAATGTCGTGTCGACGACTTGATTTCCACCACATCGCTCGAAGAACAGTCGCCAGACGACTCCCCTGTAGCTTCGCCTATGACCTTCACAACATCGCTCAATGAGCTGTCGCTGGTCTGCTCCCCTGTCAACTGCTCCCTTGTCAACTGCTCCCCTGTCACCTGCTCCCATGCCACCAGCTCCTCAGTCACATGCTCCCCTGTCGGTTTCTGCTTACCAGGTGCCAGTTTCTGCATACCAGGCGTCGGTTTCTCCATACCAGACTCCTTAGAAGATGCGACAGGTCGACCGTCGACGATGCCGATGCGCGGCGCCAAAGGTAGCGCGTCAGGTCTCCCCTCATCGTCGGCGGCCGACGTGGACGGGGTGTCGGCGATTGGACGAGAGTGGGTGCCCGCAGCCGGTAGCGGAGAGGAGATGACGGAAGCCGAGGAGGAGGTTGACGGTTTGTTGACAGACGGTGCGAGGGTAGAGTTTGGCAGTGATGAATACGGACGGAAGTCCGCGCAGAGGACGCGGCCGGTGTAGCTCGCACGACCGAGAATATATCCCTCAGCAGATACGAGAAGTGTCTCGGCACCTGTGTCCTGAAACTGCACACCACTGTCTTTTAGCTGTCCAGCTGACAACAAATTTGCCTGTACGCCATGCACATACAGCACATCAGGAATGAGAACTTGTGTGCCTGCCGCCCCTTGAAGAGCAATTGTGCCGCGATCTTTTAGAGGCTGGACATCGCCACTGAATCCACGCACATGGTGAACGTCGCCTTCCGCATTCATCTCCACGAATGCCTCACACGTCCCCATGAGGTGATGAGAACAGCCACTATCGAGGAGTACCACGGTCGGATTGGCTTGCACTGCTGCAGCTACCGCCTGGGAATCCTCGCCAGCGTCCGGAGCCACGGAAATGGTCGGTTTCGCTGATGCGTCCGTCACCACGACGGCCATCGAACATGACGCTTGCCCTATTTGCTCCAGATCATCACTTGGGGCGTCCTTGACACCCTTTCCGTGGGAGGTTCCGACATCCGATGGCTGCTCGTCCTTGGAATCAGAGTGCTGGTTGTCCTCGCGGTATGCGGTTTTGCGACGAGGTTGACGGTTTTGCGATCATCCGCGCGGAGCTTCCTAGCCATCACCATCCTCCTTGATGACGCGGTCGGGGCACTGGTTCACAAAGTGGTCGGGATCTCCACAAACAAAGCAGTATCGTGGAGAGTTGCGCTTTCCGCCACCTGAGCGCTCGTCACTTCTGGTCGTCTTTGATAAGAAACGAGGAATGAGTGCATTGAGCAGAATGAGGAGTACAAGTAGTAAACCCTAAAGTGTTGTACCCCATATGAACTGCCCCACTACAGCCTACACAGACTATAGCACATATGCCTGACACACCCCCATAGGCAAAGTGGGGGAGAACAAGGGGTCACAAGACCAGTCAAGCAAAGCAAAGCAAGCTCAGGGTGGATCATAACATCACCACACAATCCGAGCACAAGAGCAAGGCCACAAGGCCAGTTCACATGCAAGATCATATATATAAAGGTAAACAAGCAAGTGCAGGTAAAGAAAGAGGACAATACAAGCAAGGTCAAGAAGTGAGCAAGTGAGGCCAAGTAGGCACAAGACCTAGTACAGAACAGAAGCGCTGATGATCACAAGGCGGAAGGGCCTTGGTGAAGATATCAGCAGTGTTGGCCTCACAGGCCACGTAACCAAGGCGCAGCTGACCACGCTGCTGCAGCTCACGAGCAACGAAGTAACAAAGAGCAATGTGCTTCGTTCTATGCTCCAGTCTGTGCTCCCGACACAAGGCCAGCATGGCCTTGTTGTCTACGTACTGAACTGGAGGAGAACGAGGCGGCTCTCCTAGGTCAATCAACAAGTAGGTGAGCCAGTGTAGCTCCTGTGCAGCCATGGCCCCCGCGTAGATCTCAGCCTCACAGCTAGAGGTGAGAACAGAAGACGAGCGGGTAGACCGCCACGAGGCAGAGCCGGAGCCAAGGCTAAAGGTGTAACCCTGTGACGACCACTGTGTCGGCT